CCGTTTGGGCGTTTTACAGGCGAACCGGCGCCCGGTCCGGGCGTCGGTTCGGCCGGGGAACGCCCAAACCGGGGGTTTGGTTTAAATTTTTTTTTTTTTTTTTTTTTTTTTTTTCTGATTTAAAATAAATATTTTTTATTCTAAATTAAAATAAGTTAGTTTAATATAATTTAGTTAATTCAAAGAAAATTATAATAATTTTATGTTTACAGGATGTCTAATTGGGCGAAAAAATTCGGACTGGGAAAAGGGAAAGGACTCCTGATTCGTCCTCCTGCAGATCCGGTGGAGGAGAATACTGCGGAACGGGAGGGAAGGACACATAATAGAAATGTTACCGGTTCTAAACGTCGTGGGGAACGCACTGGTGCTTTTGTACCCCCACGTACGATGATTCAGGAGGAGACAGAGACAGAGGCCGAGCAGGAGATGGATGCACCCATGGATGCATATATGCAGCCGCATGAGTACGAGTACGATCCACAACTACGCTTTCAGCAGAAGTATCAGTTTCCGGTGCCGGATTTTCCATCCGATGACGATTACGAGGATGTTCGGACTCCGACTCCGCCTCCTGTCCCGATGGGTGGTACTTTCGATGGTTCTAATCCTGTCTCGAGGTCCCGCACCGCTCCGAGAAAAAAACTTCCTTCTCGACCTTGGATGTTGCCACAACCACGCCCACGTCTGTGATAGTCATCCACTTCTCATAGGGTGCTGGGGCGTTGTCCCAATAAGCGACACTCGCCAATACCCGATACACTAAATTACCACCACCGAAATAATCCTTGAAGAACTCTTCGTGTGTTTTAATACAGTTATAAACATCCATTCTAACATCCATCCAATCATCCTCGTGGTTCTTCACTGCACACGCGACGCTTCGATAACCACAATTACCATCCCCTTGAACGTCCGCCCACGTCACAACCTCCGGAACAAGGCAGAAATGAAGGTGTCGCATCCAAGGGGGTCGGGGAATTTGACCTATTGCGGGTCCACTCACGGTCGATGAACGAGCACGACCACGGCTAGATCTCTCAGAAGATGAACCACGCCCTCTGTTGCCTCGTGTTCGTCCTCGTCCTCGTCCTCGTCCAGACTCTTCACCTTCTCCCGGAAATAATGGAAACTCATGCCCTGACAAATCCCTCTGTGTAGAGTTCGTCCGCGGTCTACCTCTCGGGCAGGCTAGTACTGGTGGCTCATTCATTTCCATAGCCCCGGGATGCATTCGTTCGAAAATGACATCTGTCACGTCCGTGATCTCAATTTCTGACCGCTCACGCAAATCATTCATTAACCATTCTAGCCTGCCAATAGCCTGTGACCTGTGGTCGGGAACAGAACCAACACTTTCATCTAGGGAATCCCCGAATCCCGAAATAAATGTCCTCCAAAAAATGTGGACATCCTCTGCATAAAACACACCACGTCGTGCATTCATCTTTGCACGAATTTCATGTCTGCATGGGAGTCCAAGACATTTCCTCATATAACAGACGCAACCGTCTATGTCTTCATCCTTCTCATCGTCCAACATCTGCAGAGCATTATGTGTTACAATTCCACTGGACAATATTTTAAATACGGGCACGTTGATCGTATGGGCCCGAATCCTCTTTGATTTTGCAAAATCGGCTAGTATCTCGTTAAATTGATCTTTCATCATTGAGTGATACTGTGCCCAAAATGTGTCGAAGCCACCCGTCGACGATTCCAACCATCTTTTCAATGCTCTATGGTTGCTCTCCACCCTAATATGTTAAGAATATGCTATGTTTCAATAAACTACATGACAGTAAGTTAAGTATATATATTGAACAACTTATAAATAAATACCTGCTTGTCGATGTATTACCCAAATGGAAAATTAGATCCGTCCATGCTTTTACAAATTTCTCTTTGTATACGAGCCAAGTGTATTGGAGATACTCAATCAAATCTGGATAATTCGCGTACTCGTCCAACAAAGCTGTGTAATTCATGGCGAAATCTTCTTCAGACACTGATTTTACCAAGGTTTGCCACGTACCAACTACAAAAGCCGTGCCGCGACGCCTACTATTGCCGAGACATCTTGAAGCACGACGCCCCACATTCATGTTAATGTGCCAAAGACATAAGAGATGAGGTACGGTCGGAAATACATTCTCTAGCGCCTTTATGAGCCCTAACTCTCGATCCGTCACAATGGCACTAGGTAGAGTCTGAGGGGGGAAAAGTCTCTTCAGCTTTTGCAACACCCATGTGTAATGGTCTTCATTTTCATGGCGCAAAAATGCGACTGCTACAGTAAAATTTTTCCCGACAGGAGTAACACCAACAATCTCCAACAAAGGCAATTTGTACTGATTGGTTTTGTAAGTACTGTCAAGTAGTAATACGTACGGAAACTTACTTAACAATTCGACAGATTGAGGGTGAGCCCACATCAAATCAGTAACTGCATGTGTTGTTTCATCAGTACGGAACCACTTGTAATAGTTATGCTCCTCAAGCAACCCAATCAAATGTTGCATCACTGTACGGTCACCCCTAGATAGTCTTTTCAATTTCGCCTTCTCATTGTATATTTGTTTCGAATAAGCATCGAGACCCAAACCATTTTGTCTCAAGTTAGCCAAAATCTTCTTGGGCGGCACATGACTTTGTGACAGATCACTAATGATCTTCGCCTCCTCCTGAGACAATGCACTCATCCCATGCCCGGACTTGTATATCGGAACATGATTATGCTTCCCGTATATTACTCTGACCCCCCATCTATCATCCCATCGTAGTTCTCCGACAATATGAAAACCACAACCTATTTTTTTGCTACCGGTCCTTCTCGGACGCGCGTCTGGATTAGTTGATGGACATTCTCGTTTTTCCCCGAATAGGTCACAAGTCAAAAAAATCTTTTTTTTAGGACTGCTGCTTTTTACTATTTTCACAAAAAGACCTCTTGCAACGAACCTCACCCAAACCACTACCTCATCCTTCGAGTCAAACAACTGAGTAGTGGTAAAATAATCGGTATGATCAACTTCAAATGTAGTCGTATCGTCCTGAAAAAAACGTAAAAAAATTGATTTAAAAAAAAAAAAAAAAAAAGGTTTAAAATTCAAAAGCCCAAGTTGGGCGCCCGGCAGTGCAGTGCACGCCCATGTTGGGCTTGCGATTGTTTAGCCCATTCCCATAATGGGCGTGTAACAGACAATCGAAAGCCCAACATGGGCGTGCACTGCACTGTCGGGCGCCCATGTTGGGCTTTCGATTGTTTAGCCCATTTTTTTCGATCGAAAACACGGAATTTTTACCTCGCTGTGTTCGCTATCTCGATCTTCATCCGATGAACTCATTTATGTTCGTATATCACACCAATAAGAATGATTTGTGAAGAAATCGTCTTGAGAGCAATTTTTTTAGAGAGAGAGAGAGAGTTTTTTTGAACGGTAAATAGCCTTTTTCAAACGGTAAAAAGCAAATCCCTTTAATTATTTACTAATTTAAGGCTTCAGTGACATTTTCAAAAGTGAAAATGATTAGTTTAGTACATTATATCATATTATTAACGACATCAATATTTACACAAATTTAATAATACAAATTCATTTCGAAAAAAATATATAAACTTAATTGTCATAATATGAAATTAATTATATATTAAATAAATGAAGCACAATAGAATTAGAAAAAATATGCTGAAAAATAAGAGATAAAATAATAATAACAATTAAAAAGATACAAAAATAGTAACTTAGCATTGTGCTAATCGAGATTTGGTGTGATATTAATTAGAAAAAAATTAACTGCAAATAGAAGATACAATATATTTTATATTATATATATATATATATATATATATATATATATATATATATATATATATATATATATATATATATATATATATAAATTAATTTCTTTTACAAATATATTACTAGAGTTTCTTAAGTTGCCTAGTATTTCTTTCTTTTACATATAAAGATTAGTAGCAATATTTTTTTTGATAAATTTCATTTAACCTATATTATGATTTTATAAATGCTACACATTCTTAAACGTACTAAATAGTTTTTCATGTGTGTGTGTATCAACTAACATGTTTAGACATTTTTTATCATTAATAAGTTCGTATTTTAATATAACTTAGAAAATTGGATTGGATTGAACTTAGAAAAGGCAGAGTGGCACAAGTGCCCGTTGAAGAGTCTTTACTTTTGTAGGCTAAAAGTCATATTCAAATTGGGTAGAGAGGAGTTGTTTGGCAGCGATTACTTTTACCGTTACGAAAAGGAATTCCAAACCCACCACCACTTCACCAGCTTATAAAGCGCCCAAACAACGGCTACTATGACCCGGTCTTCACATCTAACCCGTGGGTTGGGTCCGAGTTGCATATAATATATCGATTCAGAAAAATATATTACAACTTGTTAATGTATATGATCGAAAATCAAGTTATTTGATCATTAAAGATTCATTTAATTAGTTACATTGATTAACTTAGTTAGAGTGACGTTGAATAAATTTTGTCGTTCGAAAGATATGAAACTCGCTTTGAGTTCGATTATGTTGGAAGAAAAATGACATAATTACAAATGAAGTACTTGAACTTGATTCATATTTGACTCGATTAAAAATCATTTTAGCTCTAATCGGATCAAATCTGTCAAATCTACAAACAATCTTGTACGTCACGTCACCTTGGACCTTGATTTACGGTGGAATCTTCACCTCGAACGTTGATCGTCATCGAACCTGCACACCGAGAGTGCAGGTGCATAACCGATAATTGAACCTTCTGATCCACCTTAAATCTCTTTTTCTGCCGTCTAAATCAAATTTGGGTCTTTCATAACCGATATGGGACTTCTAAGTTGGCCTCGTTTTTTTCTTCATCAATCGAGCCATGTAGAAAAGACATTTGGCCGTCGTGGTCCATATCGACTACTCCCTCATACTCTAGAGTTTGAATTATTTCAAATTCAAATGCGGAGCCATTGTACTTACAAGAATTATCCACTCTTTAAAAGTTCCATGCATTTTTTTGGATTTGCAAAATCAACCTTTCAAATTCATGCCACCATTTTACACCTATAAAAGGAGTCACCTATGATGCCTCATAATCATCTTTATAATTCTGAGCCTTTGTAAGTAGTGTCGGGTGCAAATTTATATTTCACTTAAAAGTCTAGTATCCAGTAAATTTACACAAAGAGATAAACAGAACTATTGTATTTCATAAATGACACGATTGAGAGACATTTATGCACCACTTTAAGAAGTGGTCATGAAATTTGTCTTTAAAGAGAAACATTATTTGCTCCTCACTTTGCGTGTCCTAGATTTCTTGTCCATTTCCAGCAGCAAATTTCCACTAAATATACTATTTAGGAAATAGACCAGACTTAACCTCATCAATATAGCCCAAACCCTTGTTATAGGGATCGGATGAAGTACAACCCTCATCTATATCACTCTCGAAGCATATCTCTCATTATGTACCTTGATGTCGATTAGGGGTTAGGCCCTGACACTCGCCAATCCACTTTGGGCTATTATACCTTTCTACACGACAATATTATCTCCTGACCCTCCAAACGGTTAGTGACTATATCCCGCTAAAGTGCAGAGGCTGAATATCGAGTTGTAGCCAACGCATTTCTGAAACGACATAGATGCGTCACCTCTTGGCCAAACTACTATGTCCACCTACGAAAGCAACTATTGTCTATTGCGACAATATCAATGCCGTCTACCTGTCCAGCAACCCGATTCAACATGCGCACACCAAACACGTGGAACTTGACATACACTTTGTTCGAGACAAAGTCGCGTTGGGACACGTCCGTGTGCTCCATTTTCGTCCACACATCAGTTCCTTAACGTCTTCACCAAAGGGCTTCCAGCCCCTCTCTTTCGCAAATTTGTCTCAAGTTTGCACGTTCGCTCCTCTCCTGTTTCGAATGCAGGGTTGTATTACCCGATCCTATTGCTATATATATTCTATAGATAAATATTTTATAATGTTGACATATGTTTCTTGTAGTTTTCTTGTGTAAGCGATTAGAGTTTCACACATGCAATATATCTTTTGAAATAAACGTGAGACATAACTAACTCTCTCCTTCTTTGAATTCTCGTCTTCTCACAATCGCTATGGGGTGATCCGTGGCTCGTTGGTGCGAAACTTTAAGGTGATCTCGAAGCGCCCAATCGACACGGCCTTCCGAAACAAAAGTATATTTGGTTTAACTAAAAGTGCTATTAGTAAATTAACTCATTAAAAGTGCTAACGCTTTTTCCCCACCTTTTAAATACAATTCGTTCTCTCTATTTCAACAGTTTGATGGCGCTGATTTACAAGTGACAAACTGATTCAAATTAAAATGAGAAAAAAAAAAAAAAAAAGTTTCCCGCGCCATTCGGTTTAACAAGAATATAAAAGGGTGTAACTGCAACCAATCCAAAAAGAATTATCTGTATTCACAATCACAAGTAAACTTTTTTTTCCCGCCGAGATTCTTTCTGCACATGGTATTCTGAAGTTTTCTCCAAGAATCTTTCTAGAACAGGTGATGATTTCTTCGATATTCTCCGAACATGATACGATTTCTGGTTTGGTTTCTTGATGCTATTTATGCAAGATAAGTGTGGGAATATTTAGCCCTTGTATTTTTCGTAATGATTTTTTTTGTTTTTTTTTTTTTTTGTGAATGTGTGCCCACCACCTGTTTGTGATATTGACTTCTGATATATGCCTTCTTCTTTTGGGTTTTCGAGTTCCAGGTTTAGTTGAATTTCTGTAAACTTTGCAAGAATGGAAGACGGTGAAAATCGGGATAACGAGAATCAATCAGGGGTTTTTGTTAATCAAGATCAGCTGTATCCCAAACTATTTGATAATGGAGTTTTGCACCTGCTGATTGAAGACAACGATTGGCCACACGAGCATGTGCAGACTCAGGACCTCGTTCCCGATAATAACCCGGTCAAGTTCGATGTCGTCGACACCGTTATACCGGAGAATATTCCTTCGTTTGTACCGGAGAATATTCCTTCGTCTGTTGGTGGTGGTGGTGGTCTCGAAACCACTGTGATGCTTGATCTTAAAACCCTCACTCCTGCAGATAATAATCCTGTTAATGTTCCTAATTTGGGGGATAATACTCGGCGAATTATGATGTCGTTAATTCGGGATTATAGAAAAGTTATCGACGGTCTCAATTCTCTGTTGAAAACGTTGACTCTTGACCAAGATGACACGATAGCTTCTCTCTCTGACGATTCTGTTTTTGTTGCTGATTCTCAGCCGGCGGATTTAGTACAGCCTACCTCTTTCGCGGGCGCGTTTGATAATGGCGGTGCCGCTATGCGAAGAGGTGCTTTTTCTGATGACAATGCTAATAGCCGTGCTGGAAATTCTGCTGGAGAGGTTCCAATTGTCGATGACAAAGTTTTGCTTGCTGAAATCGAGAAATTGGGGAATCTTTTGAATGAAGTGGAGAAATCTATGCATGCGTTCGTTGGTCGGCATGGACAGCTTAGCTCCAAAGTCGATAACGCTGTGGTGAGTACATTTTTTGCTGCTTAGTTGGTGATATCATTTTTTTTTACCGTATATTGAGTTGTATAAAATCGAAACGAATTTTTTTTTCTTTTTCTTTTTTTACCTTATATTGAGTTGTATATTGAGCTGCAAAAATATTGTATATAAGTTTGTGTTGTTTTGGTGTTTGGAATCAGTGTTCTATGCTGAATCTTTATATTGCTGCTATAGATAAACTATATAATTTTTTTGTGGTGTTTCGTGCATTTCGAATGCAGAGATAAAATATTTGCGAATTACGAGGCAACCAATAACGAAAAATTCAAGGAAAATAGTAAGAGAGAGAGAGAACAGTTGAGAGATCTCGAAGACGATTTTTTTTTTTTTAATTTCGAACTCGGAAAGTACTCAACGACAATAGAAATTAAACCGTTAGAAAACGACCCATTGAACGGTTTGTCTAGCACATGACCAACGGTCCAACACTTTAGTATTTCACCATCCGATGCTCCAGTCTCCGCGACTGCTGCTTTCGGTTCTTGAAGAGCCAAAGCTCGAAATTCTCGATCAACCCTCCACATGTAGATCTTAGCCCTCAGCCGTTGAGTGTATACACTTACTCGAACTGAGCTAGCCCTAATTCTTTCCACGTTAGCTTTTCCCGAGGGTGGAGTGAGCTCTCATGAGATACTCGTGGGCCCTCATGAGGTAGTTGCTACGAGTCACGAGACAAGTTTTGATTTCGCATTATTTAATTATATTGAATCTTGTCAACTAAACATGTTGTTAAACCTTACTGTTAGTCCATAGAAATTAATAGTGGCAACGCAACCAAACGAGACATGATAAGTTAGGCCGAACAAACATAATAACGATTTAGTGGGGAATAATTTCAAGTATAATCATAAGCATTTTCATATGGTGTGTTTCATCAGGTGTTATTCCACCAAAAAATCAGACAATGCAGTAACTACGTAACATCTTTGATATAAATTATGTAATTGTTCATACAAATTAAATGATTTCTTGTTAACATTATTATTAGAAATTCAGAGATTTTATATTGGGAAAAATACAGTTTTCATCCCTCAAGTTTGCATTGATTTCACATTTGGTCCCTCATGTTCACAAAAAACACATTCAGTCCCTCATGTTTCAAAAATGCAACGTTTTTAGTCATTTCCGTCAATTTTCCGTTAAAATTAACGGAGTCCAGCGTGTGCCCATCATTGCCTTAACTGACGGACTAACGGTAAATTGACGGAGATGACCAAAAGCGTTATGTTATTGAAACATAAGGGGTCAAATATGAAATCAATGCAAACTTGAGGGTGAAAAATATGATTTTCCCATTTTATATTATTGTTGCACCCGAAAAGAAACAGTTTTGGCACGCATGTCAAAATATATCTCCCTCCGCCGATCGGAAAATTCCTATTTCCCTGAAATCAATCTTCAAAAAATTCAAATTGATTGATTATTTCTTCTACTTTTCTCTTCTGTAATGGATTCCAAACCCCCACCCGCCGATCCGCCACCGCAAAACTCCACATCTCCGGCGAAAAGCAAGGATTTCTTAACTCACCTCGAAATCTACCTAGCCAAGCGCGACGGCGTCGACAAGCTGCTGAAAATCTCGCGGTACGCCACCAAGATCGTCATCGCCTCCGCCGTCCTCGACCACTCGCCGCCGCTGACCGCCCGCCTCAAATCCTTCGAATCGAGCGTCGGCGTCAGCCGCAAGGCCTTCCGATTGGGCAAATTCATCCAGGACGTGAACGCCCTACGCGCCGCCGCCGCCGCCGCCCACTCCACTCGCACCTGAATTTCCTCCTCTCCGCCGTCGCGTACGGCGGCGAGGGGCTGTACTTTTTCCTCGAACAGTTCGTGTGGCTCGGAAAATCCGGATTAATCGACAAGCGGCATCTTCCGGCGCTGCAGAAACTGAGCGCCTGGTTCGAATTCATCGGCTATTTCGGGAGCGTGAGTCTCAAAGTAATTGAACTGCGAAAAATCGACGAAGAGGAGCGGTGTTTGGCGTCCACCGTCGATTTAACCCTACTGAGAGGGATCAACGGCGGAGATGAAATGGAGAAATTGAGGAAATTGAAGGAGAAGAAGACGATGAAGAGGCTTTCGGTGGTTCAGGATCTGGCCGACGGATTAATGGCTTTTGCTGACATCAGAGACGGCGGAGGAAGCCTTTCGTCGCCGCTGGTGTTGTCTTCGGCGGGGATGCTGTCGGCGGTTATCAGCACTCATAAGAACTGGATCTCTTGCTGAAGCTTTTTTTCCTGAGGTATTGGTCATGGTTTCGTCAATGGCGGAAATGTTAGCTTAAGTATGATTAATTAGAGTCCTCCATATGATTAATTTTGAAACTTAATATTATCAATAATGATTATTTTTTTGTCTTTCAAATCATTTTTGAAATTGAATTGCTGGTGCTTTTTGTGAATATAAGATAGTCGATCGTGCAATTCGTATGTTATTTCTGTCGAAAAAAGGGCAAGAACAGAAGAGAGGATTTGTAATATAAGTTTCTTTGATGGGAAGAAGATATATTTGCAGCTTGCTTTTCGTGCTCTTTTTATTAGTTTCTTGAGACGATGAAATTTGATTACGATAAATTTGAATCTACGAACGCTCGTGCTCAACCTCCAATTGTCGTAACATGCAGAAGCCGAGCAAAACCTATCTTCTAAACACTAAACAATCAAACATATATCACTTATCAATTATTTTTGCTGGTCTATACTAAACATATCCACAAAATAACGACAATTACCGCATCCTAAAAAATTAATTTGCGCAATCTCTGTTCACCGCACAGTCTCAGTTTTATTTACTGTTTGTCGGAGAAGAATCCCAATTCCATGCCCATTCATTGAGCCAGCGAAATCTAGGTTATTTCCAATATGAAGCCTTCCAAACGCCCTGAACCCAATAAATCCGTCCTCCCTATTCACAAATTTGAATGCGCGAACCAAAATCTTTGCGTAATCCTCCAAATCCGGTGGATTATTCACCGGAAGGATTGAAAAATATTTCAGAATAGTGCCTATGAAGTCTCGCCGAACATGTACGGAGTGAAGTTGGGCACATTATTATATTTATGATCTTTTAGCGACTTATATGCATCAGTAGTTAAATTAAAAGCGTCAAGAATGTCTTTTTATACAACCGTTTTTAGACGACGGTTTTTGAAGGGTATTGTTGCCTTGCCGGTTTCATACGGCATTTTCATTGCAATTGATAGTAGTTATAATATGAATTCAGTTGAAAAGAAAATTGAAAGATTGGGAACACATTTAAACCTAGATTACATGAGTATATGAAGGGTATTGTTGCCTTGCCGATTTGCATGCTCCCACAACTAGAGAAAAAATGAAAGAAAAAAAGAACCCTCTGAAATCAAAATCGGGAGCGAAAAGGAAAAAAGGCAAATCACAATGTCAAAGGAATAATTACTTATACCTCTCCATCCATCAACTGTGTTGGTTGCCGTTTAAAAATGCTGACTTGGCACTGCATATATGCGGGGAAAAGATTTGTTCGACCCTACACCCGGTGAAAAACACCGGGTGTAGGATCG